GCAATTAAAAGGTGGTTCCACACTCCTCAAAACCTCCTCCTGTTGGACATGAGGATGTAGTTTATCGTCATTCCCAGGACGGTGCACTTATTTGGATAATTTAAAGAAATGAGAAATAAATTTGGTATCAGAAACATATCTTTCTCATTACAACTAATGGTTAAATATTAAATCATTGCAAAAGTTTGTGCCTGATTAGAAAGTTAAAAACAAAATTTTACATGCTCACAAAAAAAAAAAATACACTTATTAGTCAAGACTCCATTTCCAGTGTTGTGAGGTAGTTTTTGACTGACTGTACAGAGTCAAATTTCTTGTCTTTTAAATTGTTCTACAGAGGTTGGAACACATTAAAATCTGAAGTCAGGGTAATATGGTGAGTGCTGGATGCTTACCTATTTCAACTCTAAGCTTCTGCAAGGGCTGTTTTGCAATATGCAGTCATGTATTGTCATGGTGGAAAATGATAGCTTTTCAGTTTTCCAAAATTAGTCCTTTTTTCTTGAACTCAGGTCTTTTCAAATGACAAAAGGCATTTAAGATATTGATTTTCAAACTCTTAGTAATCTCTTCTGTCAAAATCTTTGGCTTATTCTCCACAAGTGCAAGTGTCTTCATCAATGTCAGAAGGTTGCCTGGAGCATGAGTGATCGTTTAGGTTAACATCACTCTGATGAAATCTGATGAAATCTGCCAAACTAATTTTTGACCATTTCAAGAGTTGGAGTCCAATCCAAATAAACATTCTGAATGTTTTTTGTAGCAGTTCTAATGCATACTCCTTCCTGAAACTCAGAGAGCATAATATGGTGAAAGTGCAACTTTACATCTACCACCTTTAAGGTATTCATTTATGGACAAAATGTCAACATTCAACAAAGTCTGACAAAGTGGAAAAGTTTACTAGTGACAAGTTTCGATCTTCAGGACTTCATCAGACTAAATTTGTTATGTTGTGCCCGAATCAGTGGTGCTAGAGATTTTAGAATTTTTTTTATTTTACATCTGGCCGAATTCATTTAGAGTCTTTTTCTTTTCCTTTCCATTACTTTTGTTAGTAGGTATCCCACATTGAAGATCTGCCAGAAATGGTGAACATTTTCCCCAATATTTTCTTAATATATAAAAATATATATCATTATCTCAGAGGAGCTCTTTACTACAGTACCTTGATTTTATGAATTTAATCCCTGTACTAGACTGGTGATGAGATCAGATCAATTTACAGTTGAATTGGCTTGATGTAACCGTAAGTTCTATGCTAACAGTTTCTTCTCTCACACTACTCACTTGTGGAACTCTCTTCTGGCTCCATACTTTCCAGTTAACTTTAATCTTCAAAATTTAACTGCAATGTCATGACTATCAACTGTCCTCTTGAATACTTTTCTAATTGGTTTTACTACTTTGCATAGGATGAAATGATTAATATATATATATATATATATATATATATATATATATATATATATATATATATATATATATAAAATAAAAAAATCACTTGAAGATGAAATGGAACTAATGTTTTTAATTTAATTACAAAATTAAATTTGAAGTTTTTAGCTTCCATTTTTGAAATGTGGTTATTACTGTGTAGCGAAAAAAACATATTTTAAACCAGTTAATTTATAATATATATATATATATATATATATACATACATACATACATATATATATATATATATATGTCATCTATCTTAAACTGGCATGCATGTCTGTGTAACTCTGAGTTGAAAGATAAGTCTTTATATATCTATATATATTAATATAGATTATATCTATAATTATAAAATAGTTACTGGTCAGAACTGAATTAGACCAGGAAACAGTTGTATTAAAAATTGCTCAATATATGTATAAAGATAATAAATATTTAACATGCAGAGCTTTTAAATAAAAAAAATATTATGGGCATTGTATTATGTATATTATATATATATATATATATATTAATATTATACACAGTACTTATTGGAAAGTGCTCAATATCCATGATAGAGCTAACATATTCAGTTCCATGGATAGTAGTTTGTAACCCTGGGTTTCATGCTTTTGCGATCATCAGACAAAATGGTTTATTTTTCCAAAAGTGGATCTATAAATAGATCTTATTCGTATTTGATTATTTGTGTGTGGTGGAGGGGGAGAATTTTCTTCTGTGTTTGTTTGGGATGACACTCTCATATACATAGACATACATATATACAGATTTATGCATTTTAGTTTGTACAAACACAACCATATAAATAATCTGAGGTTAGGCACATCCATGCATTTGTGCACACATATATACACATTTGTCATTCTATTTTGGTGTCAAGAGTGTAGCATTACATATGTAGCAATGTTGTCATAACAGGGAATGGACCGGCGGGGGGGGGGGTGTCTTTCTGTTTTTCAGATTAGCCATCCGCGCTAATAAAAAAATAAAAATAAAAATAATATCACAGTTATTATTACCATTAACATAATCATAATCGTCAATAAATCACCAGCAGTTATTGTTGCTAAAAATACAAATGTCATCATCATCATGTCACAGACAGAAACCAACTTAACCAATGGGGTAGATCCAGATCATTGAGTGTGGGTATGCATCTACATATATATGTGCATGTGTGAGCGAATGTGAGTATGTCCGATGGTGTGGACGGACAATCTGAAAAATACAGGATGCAAAGGCAACTAGATTTCTTTAGCCTTCAACTCACTCCAGAAATATTGGCTCCCAATGTTCAACCAGCCATGTATACTCTGCCATAATATATGATAATGACATCATCACAAATAATGCAGAAAATGAGACCTTGACCACAAACAGTAAGACTTTGAGAGCTGATATTTATTTGAGTGGGTTTGAGTGTGTTGAATGTTAAGGGGTTAGGCATGGAGACTAAAATCAAACTTTGTTGCTTGAATAAAGGGTTTGGTTCCAAATTCAATGGAAATATCATATCAATAAGAGTGTGTGTGTGTGTATTCTTATGACATTTTATTGTAAGAAAGCCAGTTTTTTATATGAAGAATATTTCAAAGCTTGTAAAATGTCAACATCAATTCAATAAAAACATTATATGGTATCATATCTATCACATTTTTATCTCTTATGGGGTTCAAGATTAAAGATATCTCAAGATATTTCAGAACCCGAAGATTTTGGTATCCCACATCCAAACAAATTTTTGATGGATTAAACAACCATACTCCATGATCTTCTTATTAGCTGCTTTGCCAGGACTACATACACTTCTGAATTTGGAGTTGTCCTTTTTCTATTAGTCCCTAGGGTCATATAATGTACAATGAAAATTCTCCTCTGGGTTCTGTAATTTTTATAGGATTTTATACCAGTACTAATCCATATTTATCTTTATTTGACTAAGTTACTTATTCAATATACAGGGGACTACAAAAGTAGGTATACAGTAAGTATTAGTATTACAGTGTAACCCGGATATAAGAGAGTTGTCGGGACCAGAGAAGAAGTCTCTTATATCCGGGTTTGGTCTATTTTATATACATTAACACAGGCTCTAATTTGGGACCAAAGAAAATCTCTCTTATACCCGGGTTTCTCTTAAATCCGGGTCTCTTATATCCGGGTTAAACTGTACTAGTATTATAATAGTGGTTCTAGGATTCATTTAATACTAGAATTCATTTAATTCCTTACAATCATTTTTAATATTTTTATTTTCATAATTTTTACTATAATACATTTATTATAATTTTTATTTTTTAATATATTATATATATTAATGTTTTGCAGGTAAAGAGGAGTGTGTGAATGATGGTGGCAAACAATTTGAACATTTGAGTGATTGATATGTTTATTATTAAATTTGTTCATCCTAAAAACAACAACTCACATAAATACTTGGTGTGGGAGGCTGCTGCAAAAGTAGATATACCAGTATTATAGGATTCATTTAATTCATTAAAATCATTTTTAATATTTTTATTTTTATCATTTTTATTATAATACGTTTATTTTCTATTTTATTTTTTAATAAATAATAAATGTTTGGAGGTAAAAAGGGATGTTTCAGATTCTAATAATAGAATTCTGTCATGATGGTCTGACTAGAGGATCACCAGTCAATCAAGGTGGAACAAATTTGTTCATCCTAAAAAACAACAACTCACATAAATACAGTGTGTGTGTGTGTGGGGGGAGCTGCAAAAGTAGGTATACACTACAGTAAATATTATACCAGTATTATAATAGTGATTCTAGGATTCATTTAATACTAGAATTCATTTAATTCATTAAAATCATTTTTAATATTTTTATTTTCATCATTTTTATTATAATACATTTATTTTCATTTTTATTTTTTAATAAATAATAATAAATGTTTTGCAGGTAAAGAGGAGTGTGTGAATGACGGGGGACAAAAAGTTTGAATATTTGAGCGATTGATATGTTTATTATTGATAAATTATTATTGATATGTTTGAATTATCAATACAATATGTTTTATGCACACATTTTGTTTTTATTACTGTATACCTACTTTTGCACCCCCTATATATGTTACCCTCATACCTAGTGCAGATAGGTTCAAAATAGAACTGAAATTTAGCATTTTACAAAAAAGAAAAAGGACAGGAGGTGGATTATAATGTCTACCCACCACCCCCTGTATTCTCAACCTCACTGATCTTAACGTACTCCTAAAACCTATTTACATCACTAGCTTTGAAATGTATTGGGCACAATAAAAATATCTTCCATTGTCTATCATGGCCATTCAGTCTGAACTATTGATGATTTTTTTTAATGGCTTATCAATCCTTTGCTGGTTATTTAGATTATAAAAATGTTTTGGAGATAATAATGATTTACTGATATAAGCTCTACTAATTAACTAATAGGTGGGGGAGAAGAGGTGGACGGTATTTGCACACAAGTGAATATAACAAACCCAACCAGAATTGGAACCCAGCTCTCTGATTTCCAATTCCAAAGCATTACCCATTATCCCATCCAAGATTGCAGCACCTGGTATTCCCAAGCGATCACCTATCTAGATACTGATCAGACTCACCATTGCTTAGCTTCTGTGATCATATGAGAACCCGTGTTTCAACGTGATATAGATGTAAGCTGTCTGACAGTGTAATATAGTCTTTGCCGTATTTGGATTAACATTCATGCTAACCAAGGCTATAGGACCCAGTTCCTTTCGCTATTTAACCCATAGCTGGGAGGAGAAAAGAGGGATTCATATCTTTCTCAAGGGAATTTCCATTTAAGTGAATGTAATGAACTTGACAGATTCTAATTCAGCTCCGATGTCTTATTCTGAGTTGTTATTGATAACATCCAAGCTTACAGAACCTGGTATTCCCACTCAGGTCACCCATCTAGGTACTGACCAAACTCAACATTGCTTAACTTTGGCAATCAGATGAGATCCAATGTTTCAATATGATATGGCCATAATCAGTAGCTATCTTGAATTTCTTTATTATGGTCTGTTATAGCAAAACTAGGCTCCTTCCAAATTTTATTATATTTTTGTCCTCAACAATTGTCTCAAATCAGTACTGAGCACCATTGTTCTTGCTCTAGTAGAACAAGTTAAAAGACAATTGCTGCATTAAAAAACTGATACTTTGAAAACAAGGCTCAACAATTTCATTGTTATCAAAATTATAGATTAAATAAATTATATAAGTGCATCAAATAGCTCTATGTAGATGGAAAATAAATTATATTCAAATATTGACTCAGTTTATAAAAGTTTATAACACTTTATATGTCATACTAATAGGGGAGATCGAAACTGGTTGGTACATCAGGGCAGAGGTCGATTTTGGAACTGTGGTATTGCACTCAATTTGAAAGTTGGTAAATAATGACACAAAATATTTTTTTTCAAAATCATTTCCATTTTTTAGGGAAATGAGTTCAAAGATTACGTTTAAGTTCAAAATCGTGGCATTAGAATTTCATTTCAGTGATCAGTGCCTCATAGCACAACCTTATAAAATTTATAATTTACTGAAGCTTTACAAATTGTATATGGACAAGATGCATTGCACAAGCACATTATTACTAAATTTACTTCAAAGGGAAAATTATACTGAACAATTTAGCTTAATTTATGATGCAATATATTAAACAGTGCAATAGTTTTAATGTGATTTTCAATAAACAATGCAAATTTAAAACATTTTCTTTTATAATTTGTATCCAGCATTATTATAGTGTTTATAGACTTTTATCTATTTTTTGTTTTTATTAATTGTTATCTAATAAATGATCTAACAAATCTTATTCAATGAGTCGCCTTTTTTGTAATCTTTTTACATTTTTTTTTTACACGGTATTTATTCATCAAATACAGTAAAAAAATTGTATGTTTTGTTTGTGGTGATTCATAATTTGAATTGATATATTTTCAATTCAATCTATCTAATACAAAAAATATTAACTTTATTTAGATTTATTCTTGAAATAGTAAAATTTTGATGTTATTTTGTAAGCAAAAACCTGCAGAAATTAGATATTTCTGTACATTTTTTCAGATGATCTTTAAAACTAATTACTCAAAAATTGGTAAAAGCTGTGAATCTAATTTTTGGTGTCAGTACTTATCACATCAAATCCCAGATTCAACACTGCAATGTTGATTTTCTAAAAAAAAAATTTTTAAATCAACCTGCCATATTGGTACATGAGAAAGGTTGAATTATTTACTTTAAATTTTATTCTCATCATTTAATGAAACAACTGCTAACCTCAGCTTGAGTAGAAACTGTGGTGATATCTAAAAGCTTTCAATGTGGTTCCATATTAAGCCACTAAAAATAAAAATTGGCATCAATGTTTGTTTGTTTGTTTAACAGCATATCAACTCCTTATGGGCCATTTAATACCAAAGTTTAATTTTCTTGGGAACTTTGAATTAATAAAAATATGATAAATGTTATTTTGCTTTCACAATTGAATACATGGTAAATGATACTCAGCTTTTCTACATATACATGTTTGTGTGGACATGTTTTCTGGAGGTGGCGATATGCGCAGTTTATGTTGGAGTTTTGTTGAATTTATTTTGGAATATGGTCAATTTCTTTAAGAAATTGTAGGATATCATATGGACTAATGTCATGCAAGAGTTCTTTCATGTTGATTGTTTGGTTGGATGATTTTGTTTGGTGGCATATCAATGGGTTATTTAATCCAGAAATCTAAATATTGGGTTGGTGTATAATTATCAGGCGTTTTTTAAACAATATTTATTATGAAAAAAGAAACATAACAATTCAACAATAACATTTTTAAATGATTATTCGAAGCATATGATTATCGGGACGTATTTTTATAACCGGAAAATAAAATAATATTTTTTTTTATTAAAAAAAAGTAAACAAAACAGCAATTTTTATTAACAAATAACTCGCCTACAAAAACGTCTGATAATTATGCACCAACGCAATATTTTGTATGTAATTTTATGCTTTCAACTACAGATATTTTTGTACATAATTTTATTCTTTCAGAGTAAACTTTAAGGTATATTTTTCTAAATCAATGTATTGTTGGTAATTTTACTATAAAAATTTACTGTTGATTTTTGTTTGAGGGTTCACTATCTGTCCATAGACTCGAACAGGTGCTCCTCCCTCTCCGGGTAAAGTTGGAACTGGGAACAACAGCAATTAAGAGGTGGTTCCACACTTCAAAACCTCTAATCTCCCAATCAGAGGCTTTGCTGCCGGATGTAGTTTATCGTCATACCCAGGACGATAGCAAGGATGTAATGAGAGCAGGTCAAGTGACATAAAGTAAAATAAGTAAATTTAAGAAGTTAATTTATGATCCTCCTAAGCTTTAAGGAAGTTTTTTTTTTTTTAATAGTAGAAAGCAAGTCAACCCAGTGTTTTGACTCAAAAAAAGCCAACCGTCATGTACGCCAACTTATCTACTTCCCCAAACCCTTTGAGGCAAGCCGGCGGCTACACATCAAAGGAGCGACCCGCTAACGCCAGCAATATCCTGCAAAAATCTAAACTCTTTACAACATGCCGTTGGCGAAATATCAAACAGAGGCCAGGACTAAACTGAGCTGGAAAGTCCATATATTTATGTGAACTTATCAACCTTTCTGACGAAGTCTCATTTCCACGAACTTAGAAACCAAACACTCCTAACATTTTATTTTTCAGAATACACAAATCAATTCGTACACATACCTTTACATGCAAAAACATTATAAAAAAATCTAAATTAATTTAAATTTAACTGCTTATTAGAGGCACTTGTTTAAAGTTCATATCGTTAACTGTTGCAATGTGGAACTGACTCCTAAGGAGATGATCCCTGTTCATTACGTTATTAACCTCTTCAAGTACAGAGTCAACCTATATCTATCTTAATCTGTAACCCTTCTTAATCCCTCCCTAAACGCCGTTACAATATTCAGTAATCCTTTACCTTGCGCGGCACTTTGGCTTTGTCTTGGATAAATAAAATTTTATTTAACTTCTGTATTTCGTTTATATATATATATATAATGTTGGCCAGTGTGCGAAAGTGCAGCCCTGCAATTCTCACTTGCGATGTCTGGGGGACTGCCCAACTCCCTGGAAGTGTTGTTTATATAACTAAAAACTATCATACTTGCAAAGCTGGACGCGGCTGCAATGTCATGTGATTCTGCATTCTGGCATTCAACAGTCGGGATTTCACCACAGCACCCGGCTTCCCTTGATGGACTGGTGTTAAATTGAGCACAAATTCAATTCTGGCATATATAAATTTTATATGCTACAGTTGAAGTAGCTTTTGTCAAAAATATTTTCTTTGAATAATGTAAACTAAACAAAACTATGTAGTTTGGGCTGCTTAGTCCATTGAGAGTGGCGCCACTGTTAACCGCCTTTAGAGCACAAAAATGTCCATTTACGTTTTTATTTTTGAATTAAATCATAAATGCGTTGTAAGATTAAAAACATCTTTTTTTTTTCTCACGCGGGTAACTTTTTTTTTCTCTTTAACAATGCGGTGGTAACAGAGAGACATGTTTATGAGAAATGACAAATAGTTGAGTATATCATACATTTGAATCAGCTTCTATTTTTTTAATACAATGTATTGTAAACAAAACGACATGTTTGGGGTTGGATAATAATATATTTGCTGAAGCGCCCTAAAAAACGTCCTAACGGAAGTTTTTTCACTGACTGCTCGCAACACACTGGAAATTAAAAAAAAAAAAAAAAACAAACAAACAAAAAACAGAGAAATTATTTCCGTGTTACACGATTTTTAAAATCGGCTGAGCATATAAAAAAGTTTTCAGTCAATGAAAAGCTATAAAAGAATTTAAAGAAGCATATCTATTCATTCCACTTTTATAAAGGCCAATCTTTTTAAAAATCAGCATAGGCACATACAGTGACTCAGAGTACACAGACGTTTCGTTTCCCTCTTATTAAATATTAGATATAACAGTAAACAAAAAAAAAAAAAAAAAATTCAATTCGACCTTAATTTTTATACTACTTCTCTAAACTACTTTTAACTTAAAAAAAATCGACCTACTTTGAAATTATCGAATAGGAAGAATTCAAGCCCTACAAATAAAATTCATACAAAATTTTTTTTCTTCTTTTTTACATACAAAAAAAAGGAACCAAGAATTAATTCCACATCTCTCTGAAGACAGCCCGCATTTCTCTTTTTAAATGGTCGTAAAAAGTAGGTAAAAAAAAAAAAAAAATAGGTAAAACTAAAACTAAAAGTTGGTACCTCTACAGATTTGCGATAAAAACTGCGAATCTTTTTGTTCTAATTCCAAGCTATAGATTAAATTTAATTATTTCCAATAAACAAATTACTTTGCTGCATTTCAAAACATGAGTGGAACGAGTTTCATTTTTTAATCGCTAATTTTAGCGCCATTTTTTGAGTCATCAGTCAGCACAATTTAATTCTCTTTATTTTTTAATAATGATTTTTTAATCTTTCAAAAATAAATATACTTTTCAGAAACTTTATTTGAGGAATATTAGCAGATTTAAAAAGTTTAATTAATCTGATTTGAAACAAATATTAATCTTTTTAGTTTAAAATATCGCAGAAATTCATTTTTAACACGAAGGTAGGTGTTGTCAGGTTGAGGACCTAAAGTTTAACTTTTTTCTACAGGGGACATTTCTGTAAAAAATACTTGAGGAATATAACGTGAGCGTCTTTTTTATATACTTAACGACCCAGTAATCTTTTGAATTTCCTTTTTGTGTGCTGATTATTGTAAATAGGGACATCCATAGACAACATAATCAGAAAATAAGAGTGGTAACAATTTAAAATTTATTGGTAATTTTCTAACATTTCCTCAACAAGCGTCTTCATAAGTAAGATAAGCTAAAAAAAATGTTACTAAAATTCAAATAGAATATTTTCCTAAATTCTTTAGATTACTGGCTA